GAAGAGAAAATTTCTAAAATGTTATATTTTATTAGATAATTCAGCTACAAATTAATATTATTTTCAACTATTAATCTGATATTTTAGATTGTAATATTTATTCATTGATTGAGAAATTTTCATTTACATATTTACAATTAATGTTGTTGGCTACATGGTCTCGGCCTGAAGGCCTCAAGCAATATATGCTAGGGCCTCCGGGCTGAAGGCAAGCCCCTATCCATTAGCAAATCAGGTCCTGTATGGTCGTCGAGTGCCAAAAAAATTAACGAAGTGAGTGTTCTGCACTTCAACTATATCTAACTAGTATAAAGGAAATATATTCTCCTAGTACCTTCTTCAACCAATTTTCATACGGATAACATATCTAGAACTAAATAAAACATCAAAATCATAGTAAAAGAATATAAATCATACATTGATACAATAGCGGACTTGCTTATCTTGCCGATCGTTTGCCGATCATATTTTATTATCATTATTTTTGTCAAGCTTTTGACATAGATATGAAAGCTTGGATAAATTTTTATTATTATACACGCCAGGACAAAAGTATCTAAATGTTTATATTGTTAATTTTTGCGACCATTACTTTAAATTGTACTAGTAAAATTTAGTTTATTCAAATTAGCCATCTGGAATGTTAAAAGAACTTATATTTCATATTTAAATGATAAATTAAATATTAAACTAGATTTTGATAGAAACAGGCGTATAAAGGAATCATTAGATATAATTAAATTCTGCTGAAATAATTTGATGAAAACTTTTAATTAACTAAGTTAATTTTCATTATTAACGATAGTATAGGAGTTATTCTATTTTGCAGGATAGTTATTAGGGCGTCGAGGTTTTAAAGATTTAGGTCTGATACTCGTTAAGGAATATGGCAAATTTGGTAAGCTAGTTATTGTAGTATATATACAGTCAAGTTTTGTTAAGGAATTGGGTAAAGTAGGTAGGATAGATATTGGAGTATTAGAGCAATTAAGTTCCGTTAAGGAGTTGGGTAATATTGGTAAAATAGTTATTGATGTACCAGAGCAATCAAGAAATGATAAGGAGTTAGGTAAAGTTGGAAGGATAGTTATTGGAGTATAAGAGCAAATAAGTTCCGTTAAGGAGTTGGGTAAAGTTGGTAAGCTATTTATTCTAGTCCTATAACATTTGAGTTCCGTTAAAGAGTTGGGTAAAGTTGGTAGGATAGATATTGGTGTATCATAACAATAAAGTTTCGTTAAAGAGTTGGGTAAAGTTGGAAAGCTATTTATTCTAGTCATATAACATCTGAATACCGTTAAGGAGTTGGGTAAAGTTGGTAGGATTGTTATTGAAGAATAAGAGCAATTGAGTACCGTTAAGGAGTTGGGTAAGGCTGGTAAGCTATTTATTTTAGTCGTATTACACCTAAGTTCCGTTAAGGAGCTGGATAAAGTTGGTAAGCTAATTATAGTAGTGCTATAACACTTGAGTATCGTTAAGGAGTTGTTCAAAGTTGGTAGGATAGTTATTGGAGTATTAGAGCAATCAAGTTCTGTTAAGGTATTTGGTAAAGTTGGCAAGCTATTTATTTTAGTCCTATAACACTTGAGTACCGTTAAGGAGATGGGTAAAGTTGGAAGGATTGTTATTTTAGTATTATAACAATTAAGTTCCGTTAAAGAGTTGGGTAATGTTGGTAAGAAATTTATTTTAGTATTATTGCAAAATAGTTTAGTCAATTTTCGATATCTTTGTAATCCTCCTAATGCGTATAATATGTCGTCCTTATTAAATTCCGTAATCGTTAAACTTTCAATAGTATCATCATAAATAATATCCGATACTTCAACATTTGATTCTAATTCTCCTACATTCTTCCGATCAGCCAAATGATGAATAATTTCGGAATCATTTGATATATAATGTATCTGATCAAATCTAACAATTTGAGACGATCCTCCAAATGAATTATTTACATTAGAAGATGCATCGGTGTTATCTAAAAGATTCTGTTTAATATTTGATTCATGATTATTCGTTTGATTATTTTCCGTTATGTCGGTAATCGTAATAATTGCATTCAATTTTTCAACTACTTGACTCATTAATGGACGATTATCTGGATCATTATCCCAGCATTCTAAAAACGTAGGAATTTATTAATCAAAAGCAATGAAGTTGTATTAAAAGCTGAAAATTTAATAAATTACCGGTGTAAATTTTCGCAAAGTCTTTAGGTGTACCAGGAATGAACGTTTCTCTAAGTCCTTGTGAAATTTCTATAGCTAAACTAATGTCATATTGTTCACCTTCAACATAAAAAGGAGGCCGACCGCTTGATATCTCCCAAAAGAGCACGCCAACACTGTAAACATCGCTCTTTTCATTTAAGATATATTGTTGAGAAGTATTATCACCTCTTCGCTTGTTAAAAAATTTTGGGTCAACATAAGGAATTACTCCAAAAACTTTTGACTGAGAAGTTGCAGTTTTAATTCTTTTCGATAGTCCAAAATCAGCTAGTTTAATAATTCCTTGACGAATTAATATATTACCGGAATGCTATTATAGATAAAATGTATTATTAATAATTAACAACAATAATAACAAAAAAGACGTGTTATTCAAGCTTACCAAATCACGATGCATAATTCCTTCTCCATGTAAATACGACACAGCACAATTTATCTTCCCAAGTAAGCTTATCAAAATTATCCTTCAAATATTTTTTAAGTGCACCGCCATCTGCATACTCCATTACTAACCAATACTTTTTCAATTGATTTTCTAATTTTTTTTTTTTAAAAAAAAATTAATATAAGCATATATAAAATAAAAATGATTTAAATAAATTTTTTAATAAAGATTTACTTTGTTTTGAAGTTATCCCACAAAAGCTGATAATATTTTCATGAAAATCAACTTCACGTTGAAGTTCAAGCTAAATTATAAATTTTAACTTGATACATAAATAATTTTATAATAAGCAGACGAAATATATATATTACATATTGTGCTTACCTCACGAACAAGTTCTTTCACAGTGGCGTTGTTGAAATTATGAAAGGATTTTAACGCGAGATGTTGCTTTGAACCTTTCCAATTAGCACGATAGACTGTTCCAAAGCTGCCATTGCCAATCTCTTGAACATTACTAAAATGTTCGAATTCATAGTACTTAATGTGTTTTCGTGAGATAGATTCTTCAATCCAGTTAACACAATCATTCGAAAAGTTGGCAGCTTGCATTTTGAATTATTCAATTTTGTAATAAATTAAAATTCTTGGAGGAAAAAAAAGAAAAAAAAAGGCGTTAACCTCGTTAACCTCATGTAACGTTAATCAAATTTCTAAGCTACCAGTAATTGTGATGATCTGCATCTGCACAATTAATTTAACGTTTCACAAGAAAAATGAAGCAATTGTACAACACAAATATTTAACCTTTGCAATAGAAGGTGAGAAACGAAAAATATAAAAAATAAGTTAAAGGCTAAATCTGAACATATTTTGACCTAAAGATCATATTTTGGCATATAAAAGTAAAATTGATTGTTCTTGCAGTTTCCACCCTTTCTATTATTGCAAAGGTTCGTGCTACATAGTCAAAACGGTTCAAATAAAAAGGAATCCATTGATGAATAATTGTTGAAATTTCCAACTTCTAACGAATACATCAAATCAAAAATTTCCCGATTCATCGGGTCAAAACATTTCTGGACAATCCGAAAGCTCCGCAGTAAAATTTTAGTATCAACTTTAATTTATGAGAATTTTGTTTATGGTTTAATTACGGAATGAATATTTAAAAATTTTTTATGTTTAAATAAATTATTTGAATAAAATTTATGAGAAAGCATATTGTATATACATTATATTCGTTTTTTTCAATGAAAGTTTCTCAAATTTTCATCAAGTGAATAAATGTGACTGAGTATTTTTAAAATTTTGTTGCTTTTTGAGAAAACTTTAGAGATAGTATATGAAACGTAGAAATTTAAAGAAAATTCACGTCGATTTAATTTATTTTTACATGTTATATTGAATAAATCCTCATTTTAAGACATGCCTGCAATAAATATTGATCGCATCGCAATCATCGTCAGTTAATATATTTTATTTAGAGAATTCTGTAAAAAATAAAACAGTTATCGCATTAATTTTAAAATTTTAATTTTTTTAATAATAATATAATTTAATTTTAATGTTGCTTTATAATATTTAATAAAATTTACAATTTAAAATTAGTTAATATTTTCTGATAGATCGTATGAGAATTTTATATTTCTAAACCGGATAAATTCAAATAATTTGCAAAACTTTTAGTGATTTGCTACATTATATAGTAGTAAAAAAAATATTAATCATTTATTTTATTTGAATTCTGTAGGTAATTTTGCATTAAACGTTCAGGAATCGTTTGCTGCAATGCCCATGTAACTTTAATTCAATTTTTTTGTATTTGCTTCGTCCCCTTTACCACAGCATGATAAATACACCAACTACTTGTTTTCGTCAAATACTTCCATGGCATCGTTGCCAAAAAATGATTCTGAAGAAAATTTATAGAAAATTTTATTCAATAGTAAATATAGGAAATTAAAAGGAAAACGACTTAGATCATTAATTTTATTAATTTTATCGGACAATAATATCATAAGATAAATGCACATTGAAGAAGAAACAATGAAAACCTAAACTAGCAGAAGCACTCCGACGAAAATTGTACATAGGACAGGCGAACCCATATTTTCACACTTGCTTAGCCGATAGTACGAAACGAGAGTATACTTCTTTCTTTATTTGGTCCTTAAGTTCAAGGAACGAAACTAAGGCCATTTGGTGTTCTATAAGAAAAGAAAGGAAATTATAAAAAAAAAAAGAAGGGAGCGTAATCTAGAAGAGCCAACGAATTAAGACGCTACTCATTTGATTTAAAAACGTCCATTACCTCTAAATAATCTCGGCGTTGTTATATCAACTTCTAAATTGTCAGCAAAAAAGTAAATCCTAAAAAAATGAGCCTAAGCGTACGACTTTCGTTAAGCTTTACCTAATATAATTGATAATATATATAAAAGTATATAAGTACATATAGAAGAGGATACAAAAGGGAAACTATCTAAAGATAAACTAGCAGAAGCACTTCGACGCAAATTGGACATAGGACAAGCGAACCCATATTTTCTACTTGCTTTGCCAATAGTATGAAACGAGATACTTCTTTCTATATTTTGGTCCTTAAGTTCAGGGAGTGAATTCACTGACCAGCAGATATCACTTTAACTAAGGCCATTTGTATATATATATTTTTTTATTTTTATTATTTTTTTAAATAAAAAAAAGAAAAGGAAATTATAAAAAAAAAAAAAAGAAGAGAGCGTAGTCATAGACTACCTTTTGATAAGTGTCGACATTGTCGCTGTGTTTCACCTTCTAAATAAAATTTCGTGCGTGCGTGCTTTACCTATGTTGAAGAAAAATTAAAATGTTTTATTAATTTGACATTTAATTCTCAATCAAAAAATGGCTGCTTGGTTAGTTTATTACTGAGGTAATTTATCTTTATTTTCTTTATAATTTTTTTGGATATTCCTTCTGATGTATTGGTTATTAAGTTTTCAGGAAGATATGTAGGTTCTTTTAGATCTCAAGGTTTATATAGTTTCGTCTTCTAATGGAGAACGAATTTATTTATTCTTTTCCCCATCTCTGATCCTAAAAACAGGCAAATTCATTATTATTGCGAACAAGTTTTACATCTTAATAAATTTTCTTTTTCTAAATAAAAGTATATATGAATTATGAATATCGCTTGTCTGGTTGAAGATATTATCCAACCCATATTAAGTATTCTTGCAAATATTACTCCGTTCTCCGATCCATAGTTGTTCTTAATTTAGATATATTTCGTACACAGGTATAGTATTTCGTTTTAAATTCAACAAATTAACATTCATTTGGATCGAAAAAGGAATTGCAGATTATGTTAAAAAATTGATAACGATGGAGCTAAATTGACTAATGCAGATTCGTATTACGATGAAAACAACAAAGAAAGGTTATAAAGGATAGAAGAATCATATGTTGAGAAAATTCGATTAATTGAAGATGATGCTGATAAACCCTCTTTTTCGCCTAACGATTGGGAAGAGCGAGCTTTGCCAATTTTATGAAAGTTAAATTAACAGCTATTGCTTATAATGAACTTTTCAATCTCATTCTTTTTTCATTTTTTGTTTTTTTTTTACCAATAACTGGATTATTTTAATACCAATTTTAACTTTATACACATTTTAACGAAAATAACATTTGAAAAAAAAAATTTTAAATAAAGCGCAATTTTTAGCCTTCTTTGCGAAATAATTTTAGTATCTGTCTGATTAAAAATTGCTCAATTAATTGATGAATTAATAGAAAATCATTGGAGGAATCAAGTAAGAATATTTTTGAACCGTCTACTGGTGATTTGTGAATGAATTACTTATTTTTTGAAAAAAAATTTAAATAAATACATGACTTATTAAGAAAGTTTCATTATAAACATAAAATCATCTTAAAGACCTTGAGGAGATGGAGCACATTTCATCTAGTAGGGCTCTTTATATAAATGATGAAAACAGGCTTCTAAAAAAAAATCAAAATATTTAAATAAGCTTCACAATTTGGCAGCTAGCTCAAGACAATTGAATCAAGAATCAAAAGCAGTCCTTGAATTAGGGCCTGAAATAATTGACATTATGTATTATGAAGTAGATGAAGAAGAAATTGAGATATCATATTTGGATAGATTAATTCGTGTAATTTCCGCTACCACGGTACATCCTTTAGCGTAATATCATTGATATTTTTTGCATATGTTTTTTAGAAAGAGTTAACATTTTGGAAAATTTCCTAAGCTAAATTTTAGAAAATATATCACTTATACATTAATTTGCTAATCATTTAGGATACAGCTACTATTAATTTTGAATACTTTTTGGAATAAGTAAAAAAAAAAAAATTACTGAACTGATAACAATTTACTTCACAAAACAGATGAACTTCGAACTTTTAATAAAAAATTACATGAGAAAATCACTCAATATTGTAACTCAAACGATATATTTTATTGCCATTTTCAAAAATGTGTACAATTTGACATGTCGATCATTTCTATAAATTGAACACACCGAACACACCCGAACACAACGCGAACACAAATAAATGTTTTTATTCTTAAAAAACACTATATATTTTTTTCTACATTAAACATTCTTACAATATGCCAAAGAAATATAATGAAGACTTGAAATGGAGAATTGTGTATTTATGGAATGATAATTATTCCATTGAACAAATTTCTAAATTTTTTTACATTAGTGAAAAAACGATATATAAAGTTTTAAATAACTATATACTTTGGAAAGATGTTAAAGATCCAACAAAAAGACTAAAAGGAAGAAGAAAATTTTTCAATAATTCTGACTTGAAAGTTCTTATTATTATATTATTGCTATATTGTTTATAATTTTAGTTTATTCTTTTTTTCTTTAAGGTCTTAATACAAATGATTAAAGAAAAACCTGATATGTATTTGGACGAAATAGTTATTGAAATAAAGAGAAGAATCAATAAAGAAGTTTCAATTTCAACAATATGGCGTTTAAAATATTGTGAAATCACACATAAATAAAAGGTTCATTATAATGAATATAATTTAAATGTTGTAATAATTGAAAATAACCCAATTTATTTATAAAGTTAGAAAAACATGCTAAAGAAAGAAGTGAGACATTACACAGTTATTATATAATGACTGTTGGTATATATTTTCAAGCTGAACAGCTTATTTTTTTTGGATGAGAGTGCAAAAGATAAGCGTAATTCTTGTAGACAATATGGATACTCTCCACGAAATCAAGCAGCAATAAAAAAGGTTATATTTGTTAGGGAAACGTGATACACATTACTTTCTGCATTATCTTTAGATGGAATTATTGCTTTAGATGTTTTACAAGGAAGTTATACTAAAGAACAATTTCGTAACTTTATTTTAGCACAAGTAGTAAGTTTGATTTTATACTTTATCTTTATAAAATTTTAAAATTTATTTTATTATTAAAAACAATAATAATGTATACTTTTATATACTTACATATGTACTTATATAATTTTATATTATAATAGCTTCCAATATGAATACTTTTCCTCAAAAAAATAGTGTTTTATGATAGACAATATTCAGATTCATCATGATGAATTTTTGGTTAATTTTATTAAATCAATTGGATGTAAAATTTTATTTTTTTCATCATATTCTCCAGATCTTAATCTGATTGAAACTGCTTTTTTTATAATTAAAAGTTGGCTAAAAAAAAAAATAAAAATTATGTAGAAAATTGTTCTGATCCTTATTTTTTTTTAACCTTAATATGCATAAATTACTTCTCATATGGCTTATTCATTTTTTCAAAAATCCTTATATCTTTAATTTACTTTTTTAATAAAATATTTTATATATTTATTATAGAATGTAAAATCATTATTCTTTATTATTTTTAACTATTATTATAAAAAATCTTTACAAAATAAAACAAAATTTATATTAAACTATTTATAATTACCTATTTTCTATATTTTTTAGCTTCTCTAATAATTTTGTTTTTTAATCCAATCTTTATCTCCATATCTTGCCAATCAGATTCTTTAAGATTAAATATACCTGAAACATTAATTGTTTCTTACATAAATTTATTTTTTACCTTCTCAAAATTATTTTAACTAAATTTCTTTTCTAAATTACTAAAAAATTTATCAATTGTTAGTACAGAAACTAAAATATTTGTTTGTAATGATAATCACAAAAAATTATTTATTGAATAAGTTTGTTGATGAGATTGTTATAAAATTTGTTGATTAAATATATCTGGATAATAAAATGGAAAACTTTACAGAAACCCGTAATTTTTTATTAAATAGTCACGTTGTTAATTAAAACTTGTCACAAATTAGTTTCAATCTTGTAACTGCATATTTTCTTAACGAAGTCGTAAAAAATTAATAATAATTCATTAAAAATTAGTTGCAAAATTCGTAATAATTTATAATAAATGTTTTAAAATTTTTTTA